ATTACCCGAGTTCAATCTCCTTTTAATTTCCTCCTGAATCAGGTTTCGATCTGTAATCATTGTTCCCAAATATCTGAACCGTGTCACATTTTCAAAACATCTGTTTCCTATCTTTATGTCATGATTTTTCCCTGCATTTTGGTGACGAGACAGTAACATATTCTTAGTTTTCTCTGTGTTTACTTCTAGACCAATCTCTTTACTTGCGTCAATTAAAGTTTGTGTGTTTTTCTTTATGGTATCTACATTATCACCCAGTAGATTCACATCATCGGCCTAGACCAACAGCTGATGTGTCCCGTTTAATTTCAGTCCCACGTGGTTTCCCTGGACCTTTCTAATGGCATATTCTAAGGCAAAGTTGAAAAGGAGTGGCGATAAAGCATCTCCTTGTTTTAGACCCTTCTGGATAGGAAATTTATGAGACAAATGTTTACCCACACGGTCTTTACTCTGGGACCACCCATCCGATTCTTAAATGAGTTGACTTTTCCACGACTTCTTTCCATAACGGTAAAGCCGAAGCTGATGATTAATTTCAGTCTATGTAAAATTTGAGGTTTTCAAGGCTGTGACTATGAAGAATGCCGTCTTCCGGGATGTGGCGTCGTGTAGATCTTGTGTGAATCGACCTTTCGGAGGAGCGTATTGTCTCCATCTTCAGGGTAGAAAAATCCGCGAGTAAGGAACCAGCTTGAACAGGTCCCTTGACGGAAAATATACACGGTGTGTCCAGGATCCATTAGCACTTATTTTTTTTTCTTTTTAATTTTGCCCTGCAATGTCATCTGTTGGCGAGTTGTGGCGTTAAGATTCTTGAAGTTTCAGCCGTGGCTATCTATAATTTCAAAGCGCAAGCATCGCTGAACCATGTGTTCTGACCTTGAATGTAACAGTACTGGCAGTTGAACAGAGAGCCAACATTAAATTTTGTTTTAAGTTAGGCAAAACAGCCGGAGAAGCGTACGAAATGATTAAAAGTGTGTACAGTAGTGATTGTTTGAGTCGTTCGAACATTGTACGATGGTATGCTATATTTCGTGACGCCAGGGAGGACACTGAAGACGCTCCACGTGCATCAAAGCCGAGAACAAGTCACACTGAAGAAAATGTGAAAAAAGTGATCGAAATCCTTGCATCAGACATGTTGTTGCAAGACTCATCGAGGAGCTTTTGGGAATACCAAAAAGTACTGTGCATCAAATTTTGACCGAGGATTTGGGCAAACGGAAAGTCTGTGTGCACACAGGCGCACGTGTTGTCAGGCGATGAAAAACGTGCCAGAGTGGAACACTGCGAAGACATGTTACGGTCGGCCCAAAGTGGTACAAAATTTACAAAATCCATTGTTACTGGTGACGAGACGTGGTGTTTTCAATATGAGCCTCTCACAAAGCGGCAGAGTGCAGCGTGGTTGAGCCCAAAGAAGCCGAAACCAAAGAAGGTGTGCATGCAATGGAGTCGAGTAAAGACACTGCTAACCGTTTTCTTCGATTCCAAAGGAATCATTCACAAGGAATTTCTGCCAGAAGGTCAAACAGTGAATTCTGATTATTATCTCGGAGTCCTCAATCGTTTGTGGTTGAGCATTCTTCGAATTCGACCTGAATATCGAGAGCAAGGTTCCTGGCCGCTCCTCCACGACAATGCCCCACCCCACAAATCGAAGATCGTGCGCGATTTTTTGTCCAGAAAAGGGATCACAGTCCTTGATCATTCTCCTTATTCGCCAGATTTGGTTCCAGCAGATTTCTGGTTGTACCCGAAAGTTAAGTTGGCGATGAAAGGAGACCGTCACGACACCATCCAGGACATCCAAAGGGAATCTACGCAGTTTTAAATGCGATTCCACACAAGGAGTACAGTGACTGTTTTCGAAAACTTTTCAATCGATTCCAACTATGTATTGATTCAGAAGGAGACTATTTTGAATAAGAAGAGTGAAATTTTGAAAATAATTCACGCCTTGTATTTTTAATGGACACAGTCCTAACAGAACCTGGACACACTGTGTATTATGATCCTGTAGAAGAACTAGCGCAATCGGTATAACAACTGGCTAGGGGCTGGACGACCGAGGGGTCAGAGGTGGTCTCTCTGTAGGTGCAAGTTATTCTCCACGTCGTCCAGACGTGCTCTACGCCCACCCAGACTCCTATCCCATGCGTGCCGGGAGCTGTTTCCTCGGGAGTAAAGTGGCTGGGGCATGGAGCTGGCCACTCACCTCTAACTAGTGCCGAGGCCAAGAATACGTTAAATCCACTTCCTCATATGTCCTCATGGTGTCGTGCTTAATTAGTTAAACGCAGGGACACTTTAGTATTTTACCTATTGCCTGGAAAGAACTATTTTCCTGTCCACCATTCCTATTGGTCCAGTAAGGAATCTATCCTCTGTTTCCCCTCCCCATAGGTCTGAGTGACCATCTTCCTTAAACCTGCCAATGTAACCAGATCGAATCCTCACCCTACACATCTCGATCACGAATAAGGAGCCAGCATATTCCTCCGAAACCTGGGTATCCATGTACAAGACTACACAATGGCATAATTCAGAAGATCACAATTTGTTGCTATTCTCGTTAGTGAGTTTAGTTGTTTATATTATTATTCGTGTTAAACTAGTTGGCTGGAATGCCTTACCGTGGTCAGTACAGTCGTTTAAACGATGCTATTCAAGCGGCCTCCTCCTGCTTCTCTGATCTTGAGGCTCTTGAGTCTCTTGAGACGGATTTGTCTAAGAAGTTGTAGTATCGTGCCTTCTGTAGCAGACACAATTTTCTCGATCATGGAGTCTGAGATTTGAAGCTCGAGTTTGCTTAGAACCTGGAGCATATGATACAGTATTACGTAAATAGGAAGCGAAACAAGATGTTACGACAACAATTCACGGCGTCTGCATGAACTCACTTTAACACTTTCATCATTATGCTGTAGAGAAAAGCTAGCAGGAATTATATATTAAGGCATATTTGATTTATTTTTATTTATTTTTATCGTATCGCAACACTAATGAATTCATGTCAATTTGTTTGTTCAAAATATCAATTCTTTTTTTGTCACTGGCTCTACAGCCCCTTGGTTACTGCTCTCTGATTTTTTCAGTTACATGATCATTTAACAGACGGTAGGACTCCTTGGACGAGTCATCAGCTCGTCGCAAGGTCTCTACCTAAACACAGGACAACACAAACACAGAACGAACACATACTAAACATCCATGCTTTTTGTGGGATTCTAACCCACGATCCTGGGTTCCGAGCGAGTGAAGACAGTGCATGCCCTAGACTGCTCGGCTACCGTGACCGGCATTGTATAGGAATAATATATAAAAATTCAGGTCGTACCTCACAGGAAACAGATCCGAATCCACGATCCCGGCTTCCGAGCGAGCGAAGACAGTACATGCCTTAGACCGCTCGGCTACCGTTACCGGAAGTGTATAAGAATAATATATCAGAATTCAGGCCGTACCTCACAGGAAACAGATCCGAACCCACGATCCCGGCTTCCGAGCGAGCGAAGACAGTACATGCCCTAGACCGCTGGACTACCGTGACCCAATAACCATGCTTGAAAAATATAACTTAAGAATAAATTATGTCTTCAAATTTTGTTTAATTCCAACCTTTCTGTTCAGAGTGTACCAGTTTTCAACTTTAAGTGACCTTTTACTGACTGGTGAATAGTTGTGAAGGTCCACATATTGTGGGTAATAGTACTTAATAAGTTCCGCCGTCATAACTACAGAACAGAAGAGAAAGTATTGTTTCTTTAATATTTGTTCAGAAACATGAAAAGATTGCGTTATGTTTGATGAAGCTACAAAATGGCATATATATAGTTAAAAAAATATGTATATATGCTATTTTGTAGCTTCATCAAAATTAACTTTCTTTTTGGTTGTTGACGTTGAGTGTTAGATTTACGTTGTTTGGGCCAAATTGATAAACAATTCATAATATGGTGATATGACACCTGAAAGACGGAACAGTGAAACCGAAAGATGGCAAGCACGTTTTCACTGCAACGGATACTGGCATATATATATTTTTAATTTTGACTCGAATAAGAACATTTTTAAAACCAATGTTCTGATTACTGATTACAGTGGTTGTTGATAGTCAAGTGAGTGCAGGTGCGGCGTGTTTTTTTCCCCACAAGATATATGCCACATCCACAACATATATGAAGAAAATAATGACCAAACTTCCCTCTTTTTTCAAACATATTATGCCCGCGCGTTTCTTCAGTGGGAAGCAGATTACATGCAGGTTGATTTATTTATGTATTTATTTACTCCAGGGATATTTTAGTGCATGAAATTATTATACATTTCAATTGTTATTTGCTGATCTGTCGTATTTCTTGAAATGTTGTTCGATCACTTCGCAGCCGAATGTTGTTTAGCCTACATTATGGAAACATGAAAGTAAACTTATGAGATCTGCATGTATATGCCCGCCCTCTATCGTTGCTAGGGAACGGTTCAGTATCGTTATCATTGCTAATGTAAGTGCTTGGTAAAAACTTCCAGTGGTAACGAATACACACAAAACAATAGAAGAGCTATTTGACATGTCGTTTTCTATGCAATTCGTGCCATATCAAAGGAAATTTAATTAGTTTTCCCTTTAATTTTTCTTTCATGTTTTCAAGTATTACATTACCAGAACCGTCGTTATTTGTGAATGTTTAGTAACAACAGCATTAATTACGAGAATCCTATCATTCTTTCATAAACAATGGCGAATTAGCAGAAATTAAATTACTAATTGTTTTTCCTGCACTCTTGTACTTAAATGAATAAGTATGAAATAGCTAACGAAGCTGACCAGCAGTATCTTTCCTTTTACCATCTTTGTTTGAAACTGTGTTATGATCGTTATGATTCAGTAGTTTTTCTGCTCGTTTCTCAGTAAGAGAATGTCAAAGCTTATGAAGAACTTTAAGTCTCATTATAGCGTTTGGCATCGTGGGAGCACACTCTCTTAAATACAGAATTTTTGGTTATGTTTTGCTGCTGTGAGGCACTGTTCCACGCGGCCAGGTCCCATCATTTTATTAGAATTTGTACGATACCTCGAACTTATAGTTTGTCAGTGAACAGTGAAGCTTTCTGCATTTGTCGAAGATCATGTCTAAAATAAGAAAATTTGAGATAATTTTAAGTTAGATTGAAGTGAATCTGATTCGTAGCAATGCACTGGGTTTTAAAGTCATTAATATAGTCGTTATGCCGAAGCAATTTTCGAAGCAGAGGTGTTGTTTAAATATACTCATATGGAAGATATGGAAAGTCAGATTTTTTATAGTTTGTATAATTTTTACTTTTATTGTAGGATGTTTCTTAGCAATATCGCCAATTACAATAGGTAATTAATGTCAGGTTGATAATTTTGAGTACATTTATTGGTCCATTCTTTGAGCAAGGAATAGGTTATGTATGAAATATTTGGAATTTTTTAAAATACATGTGTGTTTAATTTGACAGATGACTGTCAGTGCTCTAGAAAAGATCCTGGGGAAAACATTGAGCGTCACTTCAAAGGCCGCATTTATAATGCAAATTCAGGAATACCCTCTGACCACAAATTGGCAGTTCTTGTACCTTTCCGAGATAGGTTTGAGGAACTTCTTGCATTTGCACCATATCTCCATGATTTTTTAAATAAACAGGAAATCAGCCATCACATATACATTTTGAATCAGGTACACATTTTATGATTCCTCCATTTCTATTATTTTTAGTAATGTAACCACAGTTCTGAAGGAATTCATTAATCTGTGCCTTTAGGTAGACCACTATCGGTTTAATCGGGCTTCTTTGATCAACGTGGGTTTCCGCATAGCACGTGATGAGTGTGACTACATTGCAATGCATGATGTTGATCTGCTGCCCCTGAATTCACAGCTACGATACAGTTATCCCGAGACTGGGCCATTTCATATTGCTTCACCTGACTTGCACCCTCGCTATCACTACCCCACATTTGTTGGTGGAATTCTGCTCATTAAAAGGTAAATGTTAAAATGCACTTTCATGGCTACCCAAATTTTTAGTCATGTAGGGTGTTCCCTCCCCTGTGATTGGTTGGCAGGATCTCAGAAATGTATATTTTATCAGAAAAAGTTCTGTCTTGTGGGATATAACACTGTATGGGCCATTGAAAGTCAACTGACATTTTGGAGGAACAGGTTGCCTCCAAATTCAAGGTTGAAGAATAAGCCAAGCTAGTATCCAGCATGAAGAAGGTAGCTTCAGATGTTGGTTGACTTTCAGTGGGCCACATGCTGTTATATCTCAGAAGACAGAACCCTTCATAACCACTGCTATGAGATTGGATTTGGTTCATCCTGGTCCATCACACTAGAAATACTGTAATAGGTTAATCAACTCCATCCAGCGTGATTGATTTGATGTTTTTTCTTTCCTCCTTGACATGTTTTGGTCTTAGAGACTGACTGATAGTAGTTTCTGCCTGTGTTGATATATCCTTCTGAAGATGGTCTCTGAGGCCGAAACATGTCAAGGAAAAAAGATTAAAAAAGAAAGAAAAAACATTTTACAGTCGCACTGGATGGAGTTGATCAACCTTTTATAATACTGCTATGAGACTCAAATCCTATATATTTTTCCATACTTTCATTGTTTTATGAGGAAAGATAGGATTATGGTTGTTATCCATCTGTCTGTGTTTGTGTACATCTGTGCTCTTCTAATAACTTTTGTTGACAATTGATATAATTTTATTAAATTTCATATGAGCAACATGTTGCACCCGCCTTCTTAGTACACAGATCTTGATGATGCCAGAGTTACAGCTTTGGAAACACAAAACAAGAGATACACTAGCTCCATTTAATATAACGCTGAAATTTTGTGTAGTAAGAAATATAACTGAAGTTTGTTGAGTAACTGGATAACATAAGTCATTCAAGTGGTATCCGAATAGAAAATGAATTACAAATATGCCATGCAGCTGAGGTTAAAAGCACAAATGACTTAATTGTCAAAATTGCAGCATTAAGAACCAATCACCAACCATATTAAGGTAATGTAAAATAATAAGAAATCAACATTTAGCTTTCTGTTTGGTAGTAGTAAAGAATGAAACAATGAAGCTAGGCATGTGGAGGTCAATATGGAGGTAAATCATGGACATCCTTCAAAATATACATGAATTATTTTCTATGATAAGCAATAACAAAAATAGTGATGGTGCAGAACATAGAGGTTATGTTAGACAACTGTTTGTTAGTTATGAAGAGATCACTTGATTTATAGATTAATTTATAACTTATTATGGTGTCTGTATACAGATGGAAGCATTTAAGAGAAAAAAGGTTTCCAAATTTTTACTAGAATTTTTTGTTTTATATTGTGGCTATTTTTTCAGGTTCTTCTTATGCTATAAAATTTTAAGCCATCCTGCTTGTTTTGTTGTACAGAGAACACTTTGAACTTGTCAATGGTATGAGTAATAAATACTGGGGATGGGGCTTGGAAGATGATGAGTTCTATGTCCGACTGAAGGAGGCAGGGCTGAACGTGTCACGGCCAGTTAACATTACAACGGGCACTGAAAACACTTTCAAGTAAGAAAATCTTGTAGAAGTGTGTTATTAAACTTATGATCGTCACTGTTGTTTTATAAACCGGGATAGTGCAGTTGGTATAGCAACTTGCTACTGACTTTATGGCCAAGGGGTACTGGAGGTTCTTTCCCTTGGGGTAATGCTGCTGGGCCTCAAGCTGACCTAGACCTCCAGCTAGTGCCAAGGTCAATAATATGGATCTGTACATCCACTCCCCCATATGTCTTCATGGTGCAGTGCTTAATTAGTTAAACACGGGGACATCTTTGCCTGTATCTGCTAGATCTGTGCAGTTGGTTTTGTAAAGCCACTGAAGACACCCACAAGCAGGCTATGGTGGAATTTTGATGGTGAAAACAGTGCAAAAATATTTTGTGGTATAGACAACTTGAAGAGACCGCCTCTGTGGTCTGGTGGTCAGTGTTCCTGGCTACAGATCCAGAGGTCCAGGTTCGATTCCCGGTGCTACCAGATTTTCTCTGAGAGGTAGTGGGTCTGGAATGGGTCCACTCAGCCTCATGAGGATAACTGAGGAGCTATTTCAAGGAAATAGCGGCTGTGGTCTAGAAAACCGAAATTAACATCCATAGGGATTAGTTGCGCTGACCACGCGACACTCTCTATATGCAAAAAGTTGGCACTAAACTTTGCTGACAAGCGGCAGTTGCTCGGTTGGTATAATTCGCTTGTGGACTAAAATCATGGAGTTTTTTTTATAGACAACTTGAAGAGAGTTAGAAGATGGAGGATAACATTAAATGATGTTTTATGATGTCAGGTTCACTGGTGAGCTCTTTTGTTCTCTTAAATTTTAGTATAAATCAGTTCCACAGCCTCACGTGCAACACTAATGTTCTATAAAACTTGTTAAAAGCTGTCCACTTTAAAGTTTTACACTACATGTTTCGACCAATGTCATCGTCATCATCAAGCGTTAAAAATTATGGATGAGGAATCTGCTGTCTTTTATATCATTGTTTATGTTGTTAATATACAGTCCCCTCAATGCGCATGCGTGTTGTTCAAGGTGGTGGGTTTTGTTCCTTCCTGTTGTGTTATGTTATGTGTCTTAAATCTTGGTTAGCTGCGTAAGATGGTGAAGGTTATGGTAATTCTGCAATAAAATGCTACATGTGTTCCATGTTACTGAAGATCAGTGTCTTCTGGGATATGTCACCATGTAATTTTGTGTATGTTTGCTAAAATTTCAGAGGAGTGAACTATATTGATTGAGCTACTGCTGCTTGATGGCAAAGTTAATGCCAAATTTAGCGGATAGAGGGTGTCGCGTGGTCAGCACAGCGAATTCCCATGGCCGTTAATTTTGATTTTCTAGACCGGAACCGCTACTTTTCCATTCAAGTAGCTCCTCCATTATCCTCACGAGGCTGAGTGGATCCCGTTGCAGACCCACTATTTCTCAGAAAATCTGGTAGAGCTGGGAATTGAACCCCAAACCTCTGGATCTGTAGCCAGGAACTCTGACCACTAGACCACAGAGGTGGTTGTATTTATCTTGAGAGCAGGAAATTAAGCACAGTGTAAAAAATATGGAATGGTGTACAAAGTTGGAAATAAATGTTTGCCATTAAATATTTACCACATTATATGGTATAATATCAGAGAAGACAGTAATTTTCACAGCCACCATCATGAGAACCCCAAATCATATATTACAAGTTATTACTTGCATGATGTTAAGACATATCTCTCTTGTATAGGCATACACATGATCGCACACATAGAAAACGTGACATGACAAAGTGTTTCAAACAGCGTGATGTGACACGGCGTCGTGACCGGCAGACTGGTTTAGCAGATGTAGTGTACAAGTTGACAGGTATTCATGAACTTAAAATAGATGGAGCTCCCATCACTGTTATCAACATAGTGCTGAGTTGTGATAAAAGACTCACCCCATGGTGTAACTGTAGTGACACTGGAGGAAAGAAACCCAGCAGTGAAACAAATGCAGCCGAGTCTAACATTGGTAATAAGAATAATAAGAACATTTTAAATCAATGAACGAAATCTCTTAACCATTTCATTTTTGTAAAGTGGCAGAATTGACAGATTGTCAGTATTCTTTTGTTCAGCATTGCTGTGTATAAAGGGGTAGTACAGAAAGGCAGTAATGTGAAAAGCAGCCATATTTATATAATGATGTGCATAGTATTTGCTGATAGTATTATTCCCAGAATATGCCTCCAGATTAAGATAATGTGGTGTGAACAGTGCACATTGGCTGAGTTATAGGTACTTGTGGTCATGCAGTCCAGAGATTGAGTATTTGCTTGGGTTGACATAAGAAATAGCATCACTAAACAGGTTGGCCTAGAGTTAACACTTGGAGCCTTATATCCAGAAGATGCTTTGTTTAGATATTGGCTTGGACACCACCTATCCTGAGGGCTTTTGTGGTTTTATCCAGTCCCTCCAGGCAGATGATGGGATAATACCTCAATTAGGCCATGACCACTTGCAAATCCTTTCCAGATAGACTTGAAAGGATTCTGATGATGGTGTATACTGTACTTCTTTTGGCTTATTTTGGACTTCACCCATCGTCTGGTATGTAAAAGACAAAAAACCACGACGTTTTGGAGACTGGATCTGTCTCCGTCTTCAGGTGGATAAGGAAGGATAAACCTACTCAGTTGGGCCCCTTAGAAAGAGCTAGTCTCAATCACTGGACAAACCCCAGACATAGCAGACGATGGGTGAAGTCCAAAATAAGCCAAAAGAAGTACAAATCCTTTCCAGTTCATTATTCATATGTCAGTGCTACATAGTCTAGATACTGCCACTGTCATTAATAAGAAAGTAAAGCATTCCCTGTAATAGGCGTGGAGGCACATAGGGTTGTGAGATGTTGAGGCTCCCACATTTTCTAGACAGTTGCCTCACAGATGGTAGTGAGGTTGTCAGCCTTACGTGCTGGCTGCTCTTCATTCTCAAGAAGATTCCTGTTACTGATCTCTGTTAGAGCCTGAGTTGACTCTAGGGCCATAGTGCGGCTGGAAGGATTAGGTCACTAGAAAAATCTGATGACCTCATCGGGAATTGAACCCACGATCTTCTGGCTTGTAGCATAAAGCTTCAATGAACTACAGTCAAAAAAGGAAAGAAGCAGTGTCAGGATTTCTGATCTAAAGTTTCCAGATTTAAGGATTGTTCCATTACAATTTTGAAAGCTACTCTGAATGGTTCTTTTCCATAGAAGAGTGAACGTGTACATATGAAAAGTACAGATCAGTACTGCATTTTATAAATAACATCTTTGTGGTAGTAATTCAGTACTTAAAGTGAAGACTCCTTTTTATATTTTACACGAGGATTCTCATTAATATGAAATAGAAGCGAGCGTTTTTGCCATACTTTGCTTTATTTTGTTAGGACACTATTATGATAAAAATGAGCGTGCAGTAAAGTTTGTGCCATATATTTTTAAACATTCTGCATACTTATTAGATTTCTTACTTTTTATTGTGAAGTTGAAAATGCCACATAGAATACGTAGGCGACTGTAGCTTCTTTTATATCATTATTTTCTCATATTGACAAGTTACTGAGGATTATTAATCAGATGATTACTTATTTTTATGAATTTTTATATACTAGCTACAAATTGTTTCCATAATTTGACTTTATAATGCAGTTTTGATGATTTGTAATGTATCTCTCCTATACAGAGTGGTCATAAAATCCCTGTCTATTTCTGCAATGCTTGGATTGTTCAATTAAAAGGCATAATTCAATAATAATATACAAGTCATTTTAATTTTTTTGGCAATCATAAAATAATATCAGCATGGCACATTATTAATATTTGCTTGTTAATATGAATGAATTAAATATTTTTCCAGTCAATAGATTGGGATTGTATGATCATCTGATTGTGCTGTGTGCGTTCTGTAGTTCAGCCATAGCTGCTACATATACAGACCCATCACACAGAAGCTTTGTTTCATTCTCAGAATTCAGCTGTGTCCTTGTCTTTCATGTTCACATTTCAGTCTTTATTTTATAAGCCATTTTCAATGTCAGATGTTTATATTGTCATGTGTCAAGGGTTCCGTGACAGATAATTAATGAGTTGCGGCTTCAGATGATGCTGTTTGTTGGAGAATTACTTGTTTACACTCACAATTAAAATCACTCTCAAATAATGCCCTTTCTGATGAAGTGACCTGGTTAGTCCTGGTTATTCTCCTTCACCGCTATTTTCGGTGGAGTGTCTTTGCTCTTGGTTCTCGTATATCTCGTCGGATAACTGCTCTGTCAAAGTCAAAGTAACATTGCCACTGACGGTCAGTCAGTCAGAAGTCTTGGTGTCGAGCCCCATCTGGGGCTCATGACCAGATATTAANCAAAGTAACATTGCCACTAACGGTCAGTCAGTCAGAAGTCTTATGACCAGATATTAATTATTACCGTTTGACAGTTATGGTCTTATTTCTGTGGGGAGCCCTCTCTGACGAGAGGATGGGTCTGTCTTTTGTATATGCTGCTGGACCTTACCAGCGCAGTCTTTCTCGGTTACTGTCTCAGCTTTGAGACCTCCATTTTCATCGCCTCCTATGACTAAAAGGGAAGTCTCAGAGCTGAGACTGCTCTGTCAAAGTCAAAGTCACATTGCGACTATTGCAATCTGCCCTATTAAGTAGATCTTAGCATACTGCTGAGAGAATGCCTTGTCAAAGGGTTCTGTTTCCTTTGTTAGCTAGAATATTCGTTAGTGGGTCTATTCGTTGCATAGGAATTGCTAGCTGTTGCTTAGCAATAGATGTGGTTGTCAGCGCAATATCTTGACAATGTGTTACCTAGGAAGTGACACTTCTCTGTGCAGTGGGTTCACCTGTCACAATTTTGTGGAGGATCTCTTAAACTGTACTGAGGTCACAGAAAAGGTGCCATGAATGGTGGGGGTGAGTTTCTTCCATCTTTCTGTCTACTGTTGTAATCCTGCAGCTTTGTTTGGTAATTATTGGACAGCCCAAGACACTTGCCATTATCAAAGACTGTCACATGATTGTCATTATCAACATTCATATGAACAAAATGAACGGATAACTGGAGATGAATATAGGGATGTGTGCTAGAAGGGGAAGTTGAACTGCTTGATGGGGATTTGTGGGGGAGGGATGTTGATCCATGAGCCTTGTATTCTTGGTCTCAGTCTACATACTGAATTACCTCATTTAATGGTTAGCATTGCTGTTTCTTGGAGCCAGTGCTGTCCAGGTACTGGGTGTGCTGTGTTTTTGGGTGTTCTTCCCAGTCTCTTGAAGGAAATTCTTGAAAATGTGTTGAAGCAGGTTATGACTGCATCTTTATCAAATAACCAATCATAATCCTGTAATTTCGTATTTGATCCTGCATAATGCGAGCAGTTGACACAGTGTACTTATTCTTCAAATTCATCAAGCTAATTATCACAAAATTTAAAGCGTCTAACTTTTTTATATTTCATGTACAGTGTCTCTGTTGTAATAAAAGTGGGTCAGCTAGTTGGACAATCAAAGAAATTCCTTGTTCCTCCACAAAAATTCTGGGATGTCTGAGAGTTTGACCATATAGTCTGGCAGAAATGCCATTGTCTCAAGTGTTCAACAAAAAGTTCTGGGAAGAACTAATTGCCAACATTTCTTTAATACAACATGGACTTTATCGAAAATGACGCCTCCAACAATTCTTCATTGCCATGGGAACAACTTTACCGAGTTGTTACATAGCAATGATAGGGGGGGCTACCACAGAGACCCAGAGAATCTCCTTTGATAAGACGCAGACCGCAAGGAAAATGACATGTCCAACAATTCTTCTGTTGTATTAGTTGCCATGGGAGCATGTTTACCGAGCTGTTGTCTAGCAACAAAAGGAGGGATACACTTTGCTGAGCCTTTGCCTAGCAACAGTAGGAGGGATACACATTCCAACACAGACTGAGGGATTTATGAAGCATGCCACTGATATGGACTCAGGTGCCACTTATATATATATACCAAGTTTCATAAAGATTGTTTGGGTATTCAAAAGTTCACAGGGGAGAATTCGCAGACACACAAGACAGCATGGTGATATCATAAGCCTTACTTACTCATGAAGCTGAGCCCTTCTGAAGGAACCGCCAATTCTGCAGCTACTCAAGAATTTCCCAGCATTTTATGGAACCCGAAGGTTCATTACCGTGTTCACAAGAGCCCTCCACTGGTCCCTATCCTGAGCCAGATCAATCCAATCAATACCATCACATCCTGTCTCTCCAAGATCCATTTTAATATTGTCCACCCACCTATGCCTTGGTCTTCCCAGTGGTCTCTTTCCTTCTGGCTTTCCCACCAAAATCCTGTACGCATTCCTCGTCTCCCCCATTCGTCCTACATGTACCGCCCACCTCATCCTCCTTGATTTGATCATTCTAATTATACTTGGAGAAGAGTACAAGTCATGAAGCTCCTCGTTATGCAGTTTTCTCCACTCTCCTGTCACTTCATCTCTCTTCAGTCCAAATATTCTCCTCAACACCCTGTTCTCAAACACCCTCAGTCTGTGTTCCTCCCTTAATGTCAAGAGACCAAGTTTCACACCCATACAGAAGCACAGGCAAAATTGAAGTTTTATATATTCTAATTTTTATGTTTTTGGACAGCAGACAAAAAGACAAAAGGTTCTTGACTGAATGGTAGCAAGCATTACCCGAGTTCAGTCTCCTCTTAATTTCCTCCTGAATCAGGTTTCGATCTGTAATCATTGTTCCCAAATATCTGAACTGTGCCATATTTTCAAAACATCTGTTTCCTATCTTTATGTCATGATTTTACCCTGCAATTTAGTGACTAGACAGCAACATATATGTGGTTTTCTCTGTGTTTATTTCTAGACCAACCTACTTACTTGCATCAATTAAAGTTTGTGTGTTTATTTTCACGGTATATATATTGTAACGTGTTTCGTTACCGAATACGCCGTAAAGACCGTTAACTGGTTTATTGAACAATCTACAACTATCGGCTACACTTAATTATCTCACAGTTGCGGGGTTTCACACTTTATAACCCTAATCGCATTAATCTGTTACCGCTGTTGCGGGGGTTCACACTTTATAACCCTATGCGCAAATCAGCTCGCTCTGTGTTCAGTAGTCTACACGTTGACAGTCGGGGAGCTAGGTATCACTGTATCACATGCTCCCAATTACACAATCACTCACACGTCCGGTTCTTCTTTCCGCGACGGCTGCTATACTCCAACTTGTAGTCGGCTGACGGTTACTTTACAACTCGGCGGATGTCACAGTACAACTGTGTTAGGCGGCTGCTACAGTAGAACTTGCTGGTAGCCACGTTAGAACTCTCCTCGTACCGGCACTGCAGCTCACTTATATAGTCGCAGGATTGCCTGTTACGTTCCACGTCACAGTAGGAAGCAGTTCCGCGTCACCGCGTGATGTCACCGCGGAGGGGAGTGGCGGGGCGGGGTTCGCTCGCG